GATGGGTATGTAGATGTAGATTTTCAAGGTCACCTCAACAACTATACTTACAGTTTGAAAGTTTATACCGATTTAAAGATTTCAAGTTACTATTTGAAGTGGACTGACATCTGCTGAAGAGCCTTGTGAAACCTCGGAGAACTGGACGTTTGTTTCATCCTAGTATGTGACTGGTCATCAGTGCGCATCCACCACACCATCAGTGGGGGAACTAGGAACCTTCTGGACTCATAGGAAGCATTTTATCATCCAGTCACTGAATCAAAGTCTGGTGGTGCACATTTACCTTCAGTTATCAATTCTCGACTCCATAGGAATTTTTAATAAACTATAGAGGATAAATGTTAACTATTAGCGCTTCTTTTACGTGTTTCAATTCCTTGTTTAGGTCCTTGTAATGACTAGTCAGTTTTGTAGTCCTATCACTTCGACATTTGACTAAACCTGCCTTAACTGAGATTCATTGAGATGACACGAAGTCTAGATAATTGTTGGAATGTATCGGTTTATTGATAAATTCTTATGGACACACAAGTAAAGGAAACATAACAGTCATACGAGTACGAATAATAACTACAACACAAAAACAGTTCACAGCCTCCATTGTGTTACCCCATAACGAAGGTAAATCAGAAACTTTGTGTAGGATCCTCAGCGAAGCTGGAATTAGAGTGGCATTTAAACCTACAAAGTCACAGATAATGCTTGCCGAGTTGATTAAAGATCCGATTGAACCAATTCAGCAAAATAATCTAATCTATCGAAATCCATGTAGTGAATGTGAGCAGGTCAAGTACACAGGTTAAACTGGCTGGTCGGGGTCAGTTAGAATAGCCGAACATTGGAATTTAGCTAGATGTAGGTGATGTGATGTGTTATGATAGTATGAGGAATAATTTATGCTAGAAACGTCATCAAGTAAATAATAATGTATAACCATGTGTTATAAATCAAATAAACAAATCTAATAAGGAATTAAATTCCACCACAATGCCCAAGTTTTACACCTATATTAAGAGTAAGAAGTGTTTTGATGTAAATGTACTTCACAAGAATGTATTCGTCGCCAAGCTTTCTGCGAAGCGTATGAATGAGAAGGGAAAATTGAGGATGATTACTGATTGCAATAGACTCGTCTTCTTAGAACTTGAATTCGATAGCAATATCATTGATTGGATAAAAAGGGTTTCACATTAAAATTTTCCTTCAAACGAAGATATATCTCTTCTCGAATAATCGATTGCCCTTGGGTGCATGAAGTAAGGATGAAATAATTAACCGCACCTTTTTTACTTGCATGTATTTGACAGTTCAGTTATTCTTACACAGATAGTTATACAGAACATATAACGAAGTGGATCTTTTGTGATGAATAAAGGGTGGTTGAATGTGATAAAGAGCTCCCGACTTGGACATCTAATTGATATAGGTTATCAGAAGAAAGTTGCGAAGGTAAGCACGGTTACTTATTCCATCACGTGGGCCACGTATTTATCTAATTTAAACAGAGGAAACCTTTATCATCCATCTTAGTTGATCTAATCTGTTGCGTTCAATGGAAATTTATTTGACGACTCTGATTATCCTAGTCATTAGAATAATGTTGTACTTAATCATTGATAAACCTTCCTCCAATTCATAATTGAATAGGAATCAAATGAAAAAACTGCATTTTTAGAAGTTCTGATTACTAGAACGGAATCAAGGAAATTGGAAACTGAAGTATGAAGAACCAATAATCAACTACAACAGCAACAATCCAACAGCATACAAAATCAATTGTATACAAGCGTTTATCAAGAGAGTGAAGACAGATTGCAGTACATCAACCATGCGGAGAAAAGAAGAAAACCATTTGAGGACTGTTTACCAGGAGAATGGCTGTACACACAACTTCATAAGATGCTAACATAATTCGTCATCGACCTAGATGTCAACCTCGAAAACCAGCAAACAGATTGTTCTGTCTTACATGAAGAACGTCTCCGAGATTGTAACTAGATTATTGAAGACTTTTGGAATCCATATATCTCAAAAGTCCTCAAAATCTCCGACGTCTCTGTTATGCAGGTCAAAAGATACAACAACCAATGAAGACAAGGCAAACAGTATCGACAAAATTAACTGCAGAAACTATGGAAAACACATTGGATAGGGTGGTCATCTGTCTTCTTCCTATACGTCTACATAAACATCAACTAGCAGTCAAGCATCACAGCACATCTTTGCTCATATGAATACGTACAGACAACTGTGGACGTGAACTTCATTGAGAAAGTGTGGATATCTTAAATGCAGGAAGCATAAAGAATGTCACGGAATTTTCACAAGCTCTTTATTCAGGTCAGTCAGAGATTAACAGACATTGAGACTGACTCAATCTATCAACCAATTTGAAATAACAAGAGGATCAGCGTTTATGCTGATAGTATAACCAATCGAAATAAATGTGGAGACAATGGCAAGACTATGGCAGAAACAGACAGTAACACACAAGATCATCAGGAAAATCTACTAAGCTACTTGTGGAAGAAATACTGTAACTCACTTTTTTCTGAAGTTCGTGCTAATACTGTTATGTAGAATGATAATGAAATCTTCACGATTAAACCATCCAGCTCAGGGAAGAAAATACCATCAAAATAAATTTCTTAACGATATGAGTAGTAAGAAAACTTACAGATTGATCTGGAAATTTCGCTAACTTGATTACAGTGATGTAAGCAAAAGAAGCCAATTCATACGTTTATAGGCGCTCATCATCAGTATGCATAGACAGATATAGCTCACACAGAACAATCACTAAGGTCAACAGAATTTTGGCTAGCTAACTCATATGGAACATTATTTCTTAGATTGGATGGTCAATTTTTGCACCATTTAAAAATTGCTTGGTTTCCTTTGACATTTAGCACAAATCCATAAGTCATATTGATTAGTTTCTGACGAAGTCCTGATTGACATTACAGTAAGATGGTTTATGGAATACTCAAGTTATCAGTTTGAATATTTGAAATCGCCGTGGTTTGACAGATTAGTATCAGTGAAGCTGGGTAATGACTTAAAGTGAAGTCAAAATCTGGATTGTGGCAGAATTCAAACCCGTGGTCTTCAGGGTACCAACCTGATGTTCTATTAACTGATGCACAAGGCTCAGTTGATGACCATGTCTTGGTCAGTCATCAAGGATTTTGCTGTGCTGCTATGTGAATTTGTGGTATGTATTCGTTCATCTATAGTAGTCACACTGGCTACCCTGCTAGGATTTCTCCTACCAATCCAAATTAACCTGAATTTAAGAGGAGACACATCATATTGAATATCACGATGACTATCTAAGATAGCTTTGGTTTCACAGTCTGATATTACTGACACTGGATGCTTGAAGTGTCAGTATGACCCATGCTGTTTGTAAGTAATTCCAATGAATCTTAACAAGTAGTGAAATACTGAGCGACTTTAAAAACCACGCTGGCAACGGTAGAAATAACCAATTAACTTTCTTGATTTCGTCTGGAAAAGCAGATTTTCATAAAATACCTAAGTCTGATTGGTTGTTTTAGTTATTATTAGGGTGGCCTTTACAAGTCACCTGAGATACTCAGTTAGGTTTCTTTATTTGCGCTATCACCGATTGCTAAGATGACCTTCATAAACGTTTAATTTGAAACAGATTGACAGACAAATAGACAAAATCAACATGAAATCTCGTACACAAGTACGTCGGCTCACGTTCCCACTCTTCACAGTAGTATGCAAAAAACAAGGGGATAGGAAAGACTGATATCTAAGTAAACAAAGGTGTACGAAAGGAGAGAGTATTTTAAAATTAAGGTTAGTCAGAACGTTAAAGTGTGAATACACTGTGACCGATTTTCAGCCATTTCACTAAAAATGTTCAGCAGTTAACTTTTACGGTCTTGGTGATCTCAACTAGGTCATCTTTATCTCCCTAAATGGATCAGACCAATAGTCAGGGATTATTTGCACTGGTGTCACTTCTTAGTCTTGTCAACCCACAACCTCTTTCGGACTAACAAAACTTCCCTAGGCACCACACGTTCAGGTGACTGGTGGCTTGGGGTGTGTAACGCATGTCTAACCTACATCAGTCGGCGAAAGTTCACAACCCCATTGACTTACATTCTTTGCCTAGTACGCTTCACCTGACCGCTTTGTTGCTCACATGGTGATTTCACTATACACGAGCGACGCCACAAAAACACCTTCATTTAGAAACCTATATGTCGTTCATAACTTCTACTTTCAAAGGCCACTTTTCACAACCCTATAACACGATAGGACAGAATGGAGCGCAGTACAATCGTCCTTTAACGAAAAATACCTTCTATCTTCGCAAGCAACTAGCCTATTCTGGCGGATGCAACTTTCGACTTGAGTGAAGTGGTTGACACCTTCCACAACTTCACTCCTATCATTAAACTGGGAGTTGTTGCAAACTAGTCCTGGAACATCATATTAAATCTGATAGAGGAGAGCCAAATGCATACCAAGCATACTCAAAGTTCTGCTGAAGACATTCAGAAGACCATGCATTTTTTCAGCGTCAGTAGAACAATATCGTTTACATACTTCAAGTCAACCAGATGACGTCCATGAAGTAGATCAATTCCTATGAAGTCAAACGTACTTACGGTTATGTCCATTAGTACATCTGCGACGAAGTAAAATAGGAGCACTAACAGTGGACGTTTCTGACAGACAAAGTTAGTTTTCTTCACTTCATATGACAGCTCTCTATAAGCTCTTACACGACTGCATGACTTCCAGAAGAAAGCTTTTTATTGGCTTCATTTCCATACTTAGCTTCGTATACTTATTCCCTGGGCCATAAATTTTAGTAATCAAATGGATATTCATCCTGACTGATAACAAAATGAAACTTTTCTGACTAGTTGGTGAGCAGAGGGCAATGTTCAACTTAGAATCGTTCATGTGTTTGATAAACCAGACAAAAAAAGTAAAGACTCTTTGCTTACCTTCACTTCTAGACATCATTTCAGTTGTCTCATCAGATAAATCTTTACGAACAAGATTATACTTATTGTTGTTATGATTATCATTATAATTGTAATAATTTGTATTGAAGGATACTGAAAGATTTTGATACATAAATTTGTAAGATAAAACAAAGCCATGTTCATCCTTTGTTATTATGGAATCAGTATTAAATAAGATATATACACGAGTCATTTCATCCCCAGGATTATTGATTAGAATTTCATTTTCATATGTTGATTTGCCACATAAAATCAGTTTCGGTTGATGCCTATTTGAATAATTATGTTCATAAATCTCGATACGATCACCAGTCTGTTGAGAACATCTAGGAATGGAGATAGAACAGACGAAGAGGATACAATAAATTGCAAAGATTTTCTAAAACTATTTAGAATTCTAATCATGGAGTAATTGAATCTGTCGATGAGTAACTTCAGTAAAGATGAATTGTTTTCGCTTTCAATGAATGATAAGAATTCTGTATACGTTCTATTTCTGTCTTCACTGCAAAAGGTTTTGAGATACATAATTCTGTTTGATATTACTCGAATCTGCTGGATTTTCCCCTACTATTTGACGAATTAACGAGACTTTCATTGCTAACTGTGAGATATACTTTTTATGATCAGTAATGAATAAAGCAAATTAAAGGCATGCTCGGAAGGAGACGGCTAGTATTTCTATATTGTAGGAAATTTATGAATAAGGATAAGCCGATGTAAAGAATCTCCGGATATGTATGTAGACGTTGGTTAACAAAGTTGGTGTGACCAGTCTAGAACAAGTGATCACAGCTTGTTATTTTATTCATTGAACATAAAGAGTGAGTCTAAAAGTCCCCCTTGGAAACTAGTGAAGTAACCAATTAGGTTTCTTTATTATACAAAGATACGACGTTCCATGTTAGAATGAAAAGTACACAGCTGGTGATCTTGGTAGTATCGAAGATGACTTCAAAATTCTATAAGTATATGATGGAGTAGTGATTGTTTTTCTTCTTTGGTTATTCAGCTCACTTATTGATCAAAACATTAAAAATTGAACATTATAAATTACGTCTCTTCTTTCTCCATTTGTCTAACGTCAGTCACTTTCCCACTTTACAGAATAGAATAGACAAATACCAAATTCCATGCCTAAATGATGCATAAAAGTGTACATAAAACATAATGAAGCATTACTGGATTTAAGTACATTCATTCGCCTGATTACTTCCAATTTATTACCATAGAGGATCGAATTATGACGTACAAGCTATTCAAGTTAACCAGTCAATCAGATTCAAGTTACCAATATATACTGATCAGTGCTTAAATGGATGGCTAGACATTACTTGGACAAAATTAAAACGCCTTCATGAATAACAACTGCTCAATGGGATGTGACAAAAATTTGAACAAAATCAAGAATCACTAGTAGTTTATTTTTTACATTTTTATGTATTCTGCTTGAAAAAAGCTTTCAGTTTATTTCATGGATTAAATTTCTGTTAACTTCTATCTTTTTTATATCATAATGAAGTTAACTACCTTAAAATTATGATGAGGAATGTTTCATTTAGAGGTTACTAACTCATAAAGAACTTGCACTGAGTTACTTTTTTATATCATCGCCAGTTGGAGGCTTTCCTGAGGAAGTAGTAGGGCTTCATGGTCGAAATTGTTTGATTCGCATAATTCACAATCACCTTATCAGCAGAAAGCTTAGTTGATTTAGCTGAAACTGTCAGAATGCTCATACTAGCCCAGTTTGTGTTTTGAAGCATCCTGTAAAATGTGTAGTTTCAAAATATTCTCATTGGGGAGTTAAGAACTGATAAAACCTATATTCCTAGTGATTGTTTCATTATCTAGAAAGATGGACGGATGAGAAGTGAGAAGAGTTGCATATCGAAGGGTCAAGTTTGGTTTATTATGTTCAGCTGTGTAGCTTCTAAGCTCTCAATGTGGGGATATAGCTTACTTCTTTGTGGATATCACCTTAAAGCAGTAGGTTCAGTTCTGGGATCTCACTTCATTCAATATTTGGGGAGCTGTGGGATGTCATCAACTACCAGTCAATCAGAAGACGTTATTGTAATACCCGTCTACTATTCAAGGAGTTAGTGTTATAGTTAGCAGTAAGATTGACGAAATCTTGATAAGAAGCCGTATATCCCTAAAGCTTGATACAATCAATCGTGTTTCAAGGAAGTTTCGAAAGGATGCACGTGAACTATTTTGTAAATGTCAGCTTGGTTAAAGAGACGAAAATCAGTAGGATATTCTAATCAAGAAAGGGTTGGAAATAGCCACATGCAGTGAAACGTTGAATCCTATCTTCTGTTAACTTATCCTCTTTTTCCATATATATATATATATATATATATATATATATATATATATATACATGTAATTCAGGCCATTAGTTAGTAATCACCACAAGAATTTAACAAATTGCGACAAGTGTGGGTCACAATCTAATACGTCAACATGTATTGTATCCAGTTTCGTAGTTATTATAGTACATCGAGGGAAGTTAATTTCATCTTCTTTGCCTGGAGTTAGCAAACAGGATATAATCCAATGAAGCTCAAATATGAGGACTATATTTACAATCATCATCTTCGAAATTAGCAAACCATGTGTAAAAAAAACAAGTTACTTAGCGCCAACGGCAATGAAAGGTGTTTTCGGTCTGTTTTGTCTTCAAATTATTACGACATAGAGAGAGAGAGAGAGAGAGAGAGAGAGAGAGTAATAATTTTTTGAAAAGAATTTATCCTTCTTAGGGTTACAATTATATCTCAGATCAACCAAATTTTCATATATAAACTGATACACTACTTGGAACCCACTTTTTAAGTAGTATACAGACACTGGAAGCAATAAAGCTAAATAGTGATGCTAATTAAACCAACAGCTATGTATAAACTAAGTAAGTAGGTGAACAAATAATACTTGCATGAGAACTTATGATAACAATAAAAAGCTGTTAAAACTTTGAAGATATCAGTCCAGTTTTGCACCTGGATTCAGTTGATGAGAAATAGAAGATTAGTACTATTCTTTATAATTACAATTACTTCTTCAGCATCAAAGGACGGAAAAAGCATAAACAGTCTCACCGTACAGCATACTTACTTGGTATTTGTTAAACTGTCTCCCAACTGAAGGTCTAAAAACTTCAACTGAACTGATTTTCCAACTTGAATGTTTATGATGTATAAAAATCTAGTATTTTTCGGATAAACTGATGGATAATTTGGTGATTCTATTGTGCCTTGAGGTTTGAAGGGTTCATCCAAATATGCTTGATTTGTTGAATAGAGAAATTCTTTATCGGCTGATCATCTAACAATTCGAATAAGACGCCAGACGTAAAAAAGAAATGAAGACAGAGAAAAGAATTACATGTTGGATAATATCCGAAATGTTATTGCAGCATAAGCGGATGGTATCAAGTGTTCAGGTGTATGCATTCTTCTCCGGGTAAATTGTAGCAAACCTGTTTGACTGTCAAATCATTAATATGTATTAGTTGGTCAGAGGTGATGGCTGGGACGTCCTGGTTAGCCTAAGTTTCATGCATGTTGGTACTCGTAAACTGGGCGTATTTGAAGCCTCAAAGGGACTGATGGACATGCATGCCAACAAGCACGAAATCTAGGTTAAGCAGGGCTTCCTGCCAACTGTTTCCAGTCAACGAGCCTCCATCAAAGTGCAGCAAGACGATGAGGTCTCTGGCTTGGGAATCATACTGTAAGAATGATCCATATAATTCGGTCATTAGTCAGGACTAGATAACATAACACTGGTTGCTTTTCACTGACGACTAAGTGAAAATCGCGGACTTATCGAACATCCCCTACAAGGTTACAACAGCCAGTAAACAGCCTATCGCCCGTACGGTTCCTTTGCAGTCCTACTAACAAGTACACCAAAAAGTCAGAATCCAAATGTATTTTGGTTTGAGCTTTTTGTATAACTGTCTTCTTCTGTGAAGCAAGCTACAGAGATTCAGATGGCCAACTGGAAATACTGTCCGAGCTTTCTTCCATAGTCAGACGTTTTCTGATAGGACGAGTTGTGTGCAGTCTTAGTTCTTCGTAAATCAAAATGAATCTGATTTCACAGAGAAAAATCTGCAAATCTTTTGAAAAGCATGTCTGATGAATACCTCAGGTGACTAACGATGTCGCACAGGAAGACAAACTGTGTTGAATATTCTGCGTCTTACGCAATTCGCTAATGAAAGAAAACATTCGACTAGTACAGTAAACTGAACAGTCCCTGGTAGCCTACAAGCATTCCAGTGAAGCGACAACGATGACTGTCATGATGTTTTGTTTGCGTTACCTCTTCAGTGTTCGTTAGCTGCGCATTATCCGATAAAATATCACCAGAAACATAGATACATCAAGATCTTGGTGAACATACCAGAATGTTCATAAATAAACAGAGGCTCATTATTTAGGTCAAGTAAAGTAACTTCAAATGTCCATCAAATAAGAGGTATTCGTAGCATTCAGTAGCCTAATAAATAACCCTGCAGCATTTTAAATGCTTGACGCTAACCTGGATCATTGGTTGAAACACTTTTGTGGTGGTATATCAAGTAGATGGGGCTTAAACAAGGAGCTATAGGTCTCCTAGATCTTACAGCTAGCTACAAATTGTGAATAAGCAGTCAAGCAGCACTGATAGGGACTGCCTTTTTGCCGGTTATCAAAATTCTACTTAGTGTGAATATATCAAGCCGTTAGTGAAGTTAATCTTACTGTAGAGTGTAAGTTGGTTGAAGGTAACAGGCGGGAATCCTTGCTAGACATGGGTTGCTTTCTTGTTGACATTCGTCACAAACTTTAGGAGAATGATGTTATCTATGAGATACGGACCTGTGTAATCCAGAGTTATGGTCGAGGATGTTAACACCGAGGAACTATGGGGACGAACCAACAAAGAACCTATCGCCCAACAAATATGCAGAAGGAAGTAGAGATGGATTTGGCAAACACTGAGAGGATCATTTGGATACATCACGTGCTAGGCCAGGTAGTCGAGTGGAACCTGCATAGGAAACGATGATTTGGGAGACTGAGCCGAGGGTGACATGGAGGAGATGATGTGAGGAAGAAATGAGAGCTTCTGGACAGTTGTGGAGCCAGTTTCAAACGACTGCAGAGTACAGAGTGGAATGGAGACATGATACTGAAACTCTATGTTCCACTAAGAACCCAAGAGACAAATAATAGCTAATAATAATAATAATATTTGGATACCCATTGACCCCTTGTTGGACTGCGTCATATATATTGGTTGGTCACTATGGGGCACAGAATTTCATGTAGTCTAGTTCCGTAGATGTGCAGATGTGGCAGATGGCAGACTCCCAATACACATTGAAACTGTCAAAAATAACCTTTGTTTTCTGACCATTTCTGGTCATAACATATGATACTTATAAATATACTTCAGTAAAGTCATTAGAACACTCCACATGTTTCCAAAGAAACGTTGCTGTTTATGCCAAACGGCATTTAATTTATTCATGTACGGCCATGCCTGGTTAAAATGACTGCGAAAAAGTATTTCTCTTCCAGGTGGCATTTTCACACACTTTGTAAGCACTATTCACATATGATGTCGACAAGGAAAGTAGAAAAACTCGTGATTATGTAATATGCTTTTCGAAATAACATTCTTGATCAGCAGGGAGCATCTTAACTGTTTATCTTCTGTGACCTTTAAAATTGTTTGGATTTTCATTGCCACCATGTTAGAACATAAGTGATAACTAATTGTCTACAATCTCCAAATTTGGTTAGGCGAAAGAAAAAACAACTGGAAAAATGCTTTATATAAGGTTGAAGAACTGTGAATGATGGGATTATTTGGCTAAAAATTCTGGATAACTGCTTTCTGAAGAATCAGAAACCTGTTAAGCAAGGGTAATGGTTAACTGTGAAGTCTAAGGTGTACGTTTCGTCCAATTTGTGACTTGTCTGCTAGATTTACCTATCTCCTAGAGTGTTGTTCGCACCAAGGCTCGAACTCAAGATAAGAAAACTAAAATAATTTATACTTTTATTAAAAACCAAAATATATTCATTTATAGTGGTCGAGAAATTCGCTTCTGAAATCGTATTACTAACATTTTGCTTCTTTTACAAACAGATAAACCACGCAAATCAATATTATGCATGCGAAATGTTAGTAATTCTATTGTCTTTATCGTTATGATAATACGGTGTGCATTAGAACTATTGTACGATTACATGATTACGAAAACGGAATGAATAATTCACAAAGTTGAGGTTGAAAAGCTTAGGTAATGAAGTATTTTGAAACGATTATTACTAGCTACAACTTATCAGTGTACATGATAGTGTTTTTATGATGCCATACTAACTATACCGTAAGTATTGCAGCTTCCTGGGAAGTGTCCGATAAAACAGCTGATATATATATATATATATATATATATATATATAAAACCACATTCTGTAGTTGCCTTGGTGTCTGGTGTTTCTCTCACTCAGCTCACAAGCTGGTTGGTTTATTAATGATTTCAGACAATTTCACAATGAAGACATCATAAACATAACTATATGTAAATTTGGAGGTGTACACTGTTTAGAGACCCTGAGCAAGGTCAAAACAGGTGTCTGCTGCTCTTATAATGTTTGCTACGTTATTAGAGCCATTGTCCTGTGAAAATTATCCAAAATGCTTCTCTGAATTTTATATATATTAGTGATATCATAAAAGAATTTACTTTCATTGAGATTAGAGCGATGGAATAGGATAACCGATGAATATCGCGTGCATTTCAGAGTCATATCTTTTGAAGGTGGATCTGTGACGTTAGACAGTCACGCTGATATGAAGCTTGTTGAACATTTCTCCTCTGAATAAAGAACATCTTTAAAAGACTTATCTAGAACTTCATGGATTGTTTTCAATCACGTTCCATTTGAAATATAAGAAAGTGTATTCTGGTGTTTACTCAGCCTATTCATTGATATTTGGATGAAAATCTTGTCGATTTATTACGCTAAAATATTTGAAAAAACCTTTTACAAGCATTTCTGAAAAGCTTCTGTTATTTACTTACGACCAATATCTTTTTAAGACTGAAAAGAGTTTCTTTTTCTTTAAAATTGAAAGAAAGGCTTAAAGGCATATTCCTGTCCTCTGACCAATGACTTTTGTCGTAGGCATTTCATCACCAGATTTAGTGACATCCTCAACATTAATTCCATAAAGAAGTGAAGCACATTTTAAATGTTTAGGCAGTGTTTAAATTACAGTGAGTCTTGTCCATCTGTGAGTTGAAGAAGAGACTTTTGACCCATTTCACCTTCAATTTCTCTTGATCAGGGTGATAGTGAATCATTGTTAGAGTGAGATTGTGCTATTTATTACTGTCATGATATGTTTCGCTATTGGTTTCTTATATCATTTCGCCCTTGGTTGATCAAAAGCTTTGTTTCCTCTTAAGTAGACTATAGATGGATTTATATCTATCTGTGTTGAGTGGATTTTTATAGGAATGTCATACTTCTACAAATTTTTTGTAGTTTTCGAACATGCACTTTAGAGGATTTCTACACTCCTTCAGTTGAATTTGTGTTTATGATTGTCTGCATGCAATGAAACCGAGGAGGTTACTTCATGTCGCTTTACTGCTGTTAGTGTTTACACAACAGTCACATCAACATAAGTATGTATATGAACCCAATTTATAGCCTTTGTAAGATTAAATACAACCTCCCATCAACCTAGGGCAAATAAATCAAACAAACCAATGACGCAGCATAGTATGACAGTATTAAATAGCACAATCTCACTCTAACAATGATTTACTGTCATCCTGATCAAGTGAAATTGAAGGTGAAATGGGTCAAAAATCTCTTCTTCAACTTATAGCTAGACAAAACTCACGGTCATTTAAACACTGCCTAAACATTCGAATGTGCTTCTCTTCCTCGTGGATCTAATGCTGACAATGTCACTGCGTCTGGTGATGAAACATCTAAGGAAAAGTATCAAATCTCAGATGATACAGAACTGCCAGCATCCTCACCCTGAGCTACATATCTTTCCTATTGTTTCATAAATTATCGTTGTCGCAGTCAATGGTTTTTCCTGTTTTATTGGTATGCTTACTTTATTTTACCATGAAACATCTAGAATAAAAGTCATCACTGACATTTTCATCTTTTTTGAACTTGTAAACTTGATATTTCTGAATATTAGTGTGTGGTAATGCCGTACTTAGTATAAACCCAGCTTTCATGCTTCAAATGCCAGAGTTTCATCAAATGGCTTGCTGAATCATAT